TATTATTCTTAACTCCATATTTTTCAGATATTTTAAGCTAATTTTCAAAAATATATATATTTTTTAGTAGACAAAAATAAGAGCTGGTTTGAAGCGGATTGAATGGAAACCGCGTCATTTTTTGAATAAATGAAGGACAAAAAATGACTACCCAACTTAAAATTAGTGACTTCAAATACACAAAATATATGGCAAAAGTATATAAAAATAATTTTTTTGTTTTGCGCATTTGAACTTTGACAGTGAATTGTCTGCAATTACTTTTTATTAATTAAAAAGTGAATTTACTAAATGCGAGCGCATAATAATTTTGTCGCCGAAAAGTGAATGCACTGATTTGCGTATTAATGGCTTCCCATTAACCACACTGGCGCTGCTTTGTTAATCTTTCCACGAAGCGTGAGTGCATGTGTATGTGTGTGGGTTCTTTGTTGTTTTGTAAATACAATTTACATGAATTAAACAGTTCAGATTGAGATTTTAAACAAATTGGTGTTGCATTCAATTTCAGCAAAAAAAAAAAAAGTGCAAACAGAAAACCTGACAAATGAATGTATACTTTGTAGTGTGCGTGTATGTGTGTGTTTGTATAAGATTGTTTACGAGTTAATGCGAAAAATTAAATCTTCGAGCAGTTCGAGCACTCAACTTAACTTCTCGCCTGACAACTTCGTCGTCCAAGTGTCAAAAGTCGAGAGTTGTTCGATTAGTATGTGGAAATATAAATAGACATACATATGTACATACATACATATATTTGTATGTATGAATGTATTTCGAAAATAAGCTGTTTTTGTGCGTATGACAGACAGGCTGTAGTCTTTAATAAGTTGACCTGATGCGCTTTGTTTTAATTGCACACACTCCACACCCCGCGCAAGCAGTTACTTCATAGTTCTGTTTGTACACAATATGTATATTATAGGTTTGTATGTATATTTGTATGCGCTTTTAGTGAAACGAGTTTCAAAAAACCTGGCAACTACAATTGGCAGGTGTAAAATATAAATTGTCATAAAAGTTGTATGAAATTCAACAATTGTGTGCTTAATTAATAGTAAATAAAGGCGATGAGCGTGTTCGAGACAAAAGTTGCAAAACTAGAACGCTGTTCGAGATCAGTGAAGTAAGCGTAGACAGAAGTATTTACATATACAAATACACATCTTCTCGCATACAGTTTCATGCACAAATATATAAGATGCGCGTGGTTGCCCAAAATGGATGAGTTCCCTACATATTTTGTAAAAACAAAATAATTTTTTTTGGTATAAAATTTTTTTATAATAACAATATTACAT